ATCAATACAGGAAAATTCCAAAAAACAAATAAACAAAATTATTTCTCAGCTGCAATAACAATCAAAAGTCAACGAATAACTGAAAGATATGCACTGAAAAATATCAAAATTCTGAGACTATTATTGAAAGAAGTCAAATTTATAATTTCCCATGCAGAAATGAACAAAAACAAACTAAGACAATCGAACAAACAGAAAATCCACAACTACAGTCAAAGAAATCTCAAACATTGAACAATACTGGAAGAGAGGTGCACCAATAAATCAAAGTAGCCACACCTTGTTATTGCATGGAATAGCGATATCGACGAACTTGAGTGGTGAATCGGTGTTACAGAAACTGATCACTGGCACACCAACATAGGATGCTTCAGTGACGGCTTGATGATCAACTCGTGGATCAGACACAATCAACAAACGTGGTTCCTTGAAGGATTTCTGGATCTGATTGGTAAGACAACCCGGTGTGAATCTGCCGAAGATTGGTGTTGCACCCGTGTGTGCAGCGAACTTCAGAAGTGCTCTTTGAGCGTACGGTCGTGCAGACACAACACAAACATCTGCTGGATTCTCAATCGCTGCAATGGCACGCGCAGCCAACAACAGCTTTTCCCATGTCTTCTTTACATGAATTATGTGTGGCCCTGAAATACCGATACTATGATCTTAAACGACCTTTGAAAATTCTCAACTCAATATTTCTGCCTGGTAAGATTACAATGTACTTGACGACATAACAAATCAATAGCCAGTAGACTAAATGGACATCCTAAAAAATTCCTATTGCTTTTAACGATTTTTTTGTGAGTTTGCGACAGTGGCAAACTGAAATCAAGTTGATGTTAAACACCTTCGACTAAATTTAATACGTGCAATAAAAGGAACAAATTGACGAATGTAAACAATAGTCCTTCTCGGTGAAATAGTGAATTCCACCTTGCGTACTATTATTTAAAATTATAGCTTACCATCAGCTCGTCTCTTCCAAACATATTGCTCCATTTGAAAGTCACAATTCGTGGCCCCGATATGCGTTTGACAAGCCAACAATTTCATCACATCCTCCTCTCTAAGGGTGAATGGTTCGATACCACCCGACATCTTTGCAACTTCTTATGATAACCCTACAGATATTCCCTTAATCTTCAATATGCTTTTTCATTACGAGTTCAACAATTACCACGATTAAACACATAAGCGCAACACTTCATCATGAATCTTTCAAAAATACAGCAATTCACACAAATACACGATGATCACGCTTTTTCTTATTGATTGCTAGCAACATATTCATAACAAACT